ATACTGGCTTAGTGAGAGAATTGGGGCAAGTGACCCAGGGAGGAAGAGAAGGAATGACGAAGAGATCTAGAAAAAGATTTAGAGGAAGGTATAGTGGGTCGCAGCAGAAGTAGACTGAAGTAATTCAAGTAGCATGCATAGGCTGCAAAGGAACAAGTAAGGGTTTATTCCATGCTGGAAAGAGAAGAAAGGAAACACAACGTTCCGGCTTTGAAACCTTCTTCGGGTGTGAAGGAGAAGAAGGCTCCACAGCCGAAATGTTGTGTTTCTTTTCTTCCCTTTCCAGCATGGAATAAACCTTTACTTGTTCCTTTGCAACCAATACATGCTGACACAGCTATCTACTTGAACTACGTTCACAGACATAATCCATTTGTGATGAAATTTACAATTTTACAATTGTAATCCAATGCTAGTAGTAGCATTGGATTACAAATTTATATAGTTAAAATGGCACTAAATCTCTTAATCCTTAAATCCCATGGTATGTGCAACGAGAAGGTAATCATAAATACTGATTAAATACTGATTCAGAAACTCCTGTTGGCCTTAGTCATAATTATTCCCCTGGTTAGGGAAATAGGAACAAAGATTGCATGCATCATCTCAGTTCAGAAAATTAATATTGGTATTTTTAAAATAAAAAATGCAATTTTGTACAGCATGTCTTATACAGTAGTCAAGAAAATTACTAAGTTGTGAAATTGCTAGCTGCAGTCATTAATGTAAAGTCTAATTAAACATACCATTGGAATAGTATTGGAATCACTATGCACACTACTCATAAAGATTCCTGTGTGAAGTGTTTTAATATTTAACTTGCATCATCATGAAATAAAAATATTATAATAGTGTAATGTGTACTCGTGTAGCATTTAATACTCTGAACAGCAGCAAAAAAAATGCACTGTGGGTTCTCTAACCTTCTGACCTTCTGGCTTAGTATCAGTAATCATTGACAGTATAGTTCCTGGGCTTTTCTGATTTATGCTAATAAACTACTTTTTCATAATTGATAATTGGTTGTATTGAAAATTAGGTGTCACAATCAATGTAACACAAAAGAAAAGCATATGTGAATCACAATTTGAAAGCTGACCTGGCATTTAAAAAAAAAAGAAGCTTTAACTGGATTTTCCCTAAAATTCTAGTGAAGAGACATTCAGTGTTCAGAGCACTAACAGCCCAGGAGAACTGAATTCATTTTTCTGCTGCTGTTTTCTGAGCTTCCTGAAATTTAACACTAGCACAATTTTAAAGTATTTGAAGTCACAATTCTGTTTTATACACATTGTTACACGTGTTCAGCATTGCCAAATTCCGCAGTATCTAATTCCTGAAATTATTTCTCTGTAAACTTTAACTTTGCAGATATTAATAGGCACAGAATTCAGTGTCTGGTTGTTTTGAGACTATTTGAGGAAATGAAGCCTTAAATCTTTTATAAGTATTAAAATATATTGCTAAAATAATGAGCTAACATCAAACGTGTTATGGATAATTTTCATGAAAGGATAACTTTAAAACATCAGTTTTCAAAATCCACTGAATGCCAAATCATCAGTTGATCAGAGTATAAATCAAATCAATTGTATTTCCTGAATTGTTTGTCACGTTGAGAAAATATACATTGTAAGTCTCTTGAAACAAGCCATAAAGAAATGGGGGACAATAAAAGGAGAGCATCTGTGAGTTCTGTTGATAAACTCTTGGAAATGGTCTTGTTTTCTTTAAGATGAAGGTACAGAAACAGGCCTGTTTACAGCAAGACTTAATTTCTCTGAATGTAATCTATTATTCCATTGTTCCATAGATCCACCAAACCATTATCTAAAAGCCTTTTTTTCCTGGTAAGAGCCACAGCAACACGAAGCCTAACCTAGAACAGAAACTACTGGGAGGGACTTAACCCTGGATGGGATGCCAGTACATCACAGGACACACACACAGGCACACAGTGACAATATAAAGAAACCAGCTGATGCAGTCAATGGGAGGAAACAGAGAATATGCAAACTCTGCACAGAAAGCAACTTGTTTTAGGCTTTATACTAATCATTATACCTGCATTTCAGTTTATTATGTAATTATACTGGTCTTTTTGGTCAGAACTCTTTCCTTTATGTGGGGTAAAGACCACTGTCTTCTAAATAAGGTATGGTATTAGAGTTTTAACATTACTGCCCTTGGAGTTCTCTTAAATATTTTTAAGACTTATGAAAATAATATTAGAATTTTATTTTTCAGGTCTCCTATATCCTATATTTAACATTAAGTTAATTTAATTACAAATGTTTTTGTTTCAATTTATCAAATACAATTTGAATATTATTATGAGAGTAAGTTACATTTAATGTTGATCTTTGATTTGAGAGAAAATCATAATTCTTAATCTTTAAATCTTAAAAGTTAAAATAAGGCTCAAATCTTGAGATGTACCACTGCAGTATATATGCTGGTTTGGCTGCTTAGTAGCAAAACCTATTGCAATTGATTTGTTCAAGTGAAGCTACAAATTGAAATGTGGAGTTTATTTTCATAAAGAACACTTTAGGTAATGGTTTAAGTAAAATTTGAGGTAGCTGTGTGTCAAAATAATTTTTGTTACTGATTGACTCAGATGTCATAGGAACAACATTACATTTTTTGGATATTTTTTTCTTATGGTTCCAAGTGAGGTAAGGAGGTAAAATTACTTTGGTATGCAGATAAAAAATTGAAAATTGGGGAAGATGACTTCCTTCTACATATATTAAACACGTATGCTTTATATAAAGCCTGATAGACTTGGACCTGTTTACCTTTTATGCAGACCTCTGCAGTTGCAATATGCATTTTGTATTTCATGTCTACATATATAAAATAGAAAATAAGACTAAAAGTTTTTTTAAGAAAGGACTTTTAAGTGCTAAGAAGATCTTTAATGGGCATATCTGTCTTTTGGGATTTCATCAGTATCTGACAGCTTTTGAACAGGAATTAAAAAATGATAAAATGACCATGGTAGCATGGTGTTACAAAGGTTAGCATTGCTGCCTCACAGTGCTGGAGATCTGGGTTCTATCTGTACGGAGTTTATACCTTTTCCCCATGTTCGCATCTCCTGGTTATCTGGTTTCCTCCTACAGTCCAAAAACATAGAGGTAAATTAATTGGCTAAGTATTTGTAGGTCTGCACTGCAAGGGACTGGTGTCCTGTCCGAGGTGTACCTTACCTTGTGCCCATTGCTTACTGTGATAAGCTCTGGCTTGCCTGCAACCCTGAATTGGAAGAATTGCTTGGATAGATGATAAAATGACAGCTTAGAGTAGGTGGCAGATTGAATTGGCTCCAGAAACCCCTTGCTCCTTTCATAGTTGTCTGCCAGTGGCCATCAATAATGTCACCAACATTTATACAGAACAATACTTTCTAAGGAGAGGCCCTTTATGTTGCAGCCATGCCACTTGTGATTTCTTTTGTGAGAATTGGCCTCATACGTGTTTCATTGAATTCTGTATTACTCACTTAAACACAAAGATATTTGAGAGTTTCACATGCATAGCTGGCAGCAAAGTTAATTCTTCAGTGTGACCTTTGTTTTACTGAAGGTCTGTGTACTGTATCTGACACACATATTTGCTATAGTGAAGTCAAGGGGACAGAATACTATGGTTGGTTCATAATTGTACTAATAGATCCCTTGAAAAACATTTATAAAAGGCTTGCAGTAACATTGAATGTAGGTAAGTTGTCTGATTTTAATCCAGAGCATAATATGCTTTTCTGTGCTGTGTTTTAATCATGTTCATGTATGTGTACATCAGACAGCTTCTGCTGATTCATGTAGAATTAACACTGGAGAAAAAAATAGATGTACTGACATTTTGTGAGATTTTATTTTCATTTTTTTTAAGAACCTCTAACTTTCATGTTCAGCTGAATTTATGATCTAATAAGGAATTTATGGGCTAGCCCTGGAAACCGCCACATTCTCACGAGTTTCCTACACAAACCGGATCTCCTTCTGGTGATCCATCTTAATTAACATTTATTCAATTAATTTTTTTTATTTTCTTTTTTTCCAGTTAATATGAAAGCACCACTTTGACGGCGTTTTGTCATTTATTTAACTCTGGTTTCTGTCCCATTTTCAATACGATTTCCAGATCTCCTGTTTGTTGGGCAGATGAGTTAGCTGCTTTTCCCGGTGGTCATCTTCCTCTGGAATGCTAAGCCCATTTGCACCCCTTTCTTGACACCAGGAATCCACTCTGAAGTCGAATGCCCATTCTCCCTTGGGGCTTGGCCACAGGATTCCTCTCCAAAGTTGAGACACCAGTGCGCCCTCCTTTTTTCTGGGAACTCGGCACAGGATTCAGCTCCAAAGACAAGCCTGCACATAACCTGCCAATGGGCTGATTCACTAGGGTTGAAATCTCCAGGCTCTTCGCCGACTATCCTTTCTTCTCGTCGCTGAAGCAGTCTGCTCTGACTTCAGTTCAGGACTTCATGTCACTCTGCACTGAAGCAGTCTCTTCCAGTTTGCCTCTTTCTCCAGGACTTTACTGCAGAGCTGTGTTCCAGATTGCTCTTTCTCCACTCTGGAGCCCCGTTGGAGACTGCCTTTTCTCCAGGACTTCACTCTGCACTGCAGCTCCTGTTCCTGATTGCAAGGAGGTTCCTGCCCTCTGTCCTGGTACCATGGACTCTTTTCCACTGTCCTCCTTCTCCTGCGGTTTTTGTCCAGCTTTCAGGAGGCAGGGTTCTCCCCATGCACCCATTTTTCCCCTCTCCTTAGTAGCCCTGTTTTTATTCCACAGAGTCCAGCCCTAGCACTTTACAGCGGGACTTTTTTATTTTTTTTTCTGACTGCCCTCTTTTCGATCACCTTTCCAACTTCTCTTTGAGGTTACCTTTTCTCCACATACTTCACCTTTTTCTCTTGTGGCTGTCTGGGTTACTTTTCTTTGCCTTTTCTCCTTCTAGTGTCCTAGCAGAGCTTTCTGTTTCTTCCTAGGGAGCTAGACATCCAGTTTCCTCTCTGAAGCCTGGAGAGTATCACTCCGTGAGCCTGAACTCCCTGAGGATGCCTACTTCTCAGCTCAGACTGGGAGTGCGCCCTTCAGCTGTGCTGACCTGAGGCTCTGAGAGTTGAGATGGGTCCATTGCCTCCCGTCTATCACAGGTATCTCCCCCAGTTGGTCCAGAGGGTGCCTGGGTATCTGATTCCATTTGCAGCCTTCCACCTCCGTCAGAGAGTTGAATCTGGGAGACCGAGTTGACAGTACACATTTGGCCTTTTCTCGGAGGAGACCCCCCATAACGGCATATGCCTTGAATCACCGGCTCCTGGGCCCTCTGCCTGGACCATTGAATGGGGGTTTCCTTCCTCGCCAGTTTTGATGAAACCCCTCCTGTCTGTAATGCCTATGGGGCAAAGCACAGCTGTGTTCTGAGGAGGCTCCTTCTTTATCTTTTTTTCTGTTCAGGGTGTTGACTTGATAGCGTGCCATCCTGCATCCCTTGCTACGTAGAGACTGTCACCCAGATCGGTGTGGCTCCTCTTTCTTTGGGCTTTTTGGTTGGTTCCGTCCCATAGCCGAGGGTCCCAAATTCTGTTCGGCGGGCTGGGATGAGTTGTTTAACTTGAGGCTCTCACTTTGCCTCGCTGACCCATCTCTTCAGTCACCAGAGATGCAGAGAGCCAACATCTCCGAGACGCGCTTCCCTTTTTCCTTTTTTGTTTTTTGCTGATTAAGGGCTAATTCACCTCCTCTGTCTCCTTTTCACTTTCATTTCCCCCTATCCTGGAGAGCTTGAGCCCAATCGATCGGATCTCTTCGGGTGTGTCACCGGTCTCTTGTGCTTGGGTTCTGACTTATCAGTATCCGCTCAGTGCTCAGCTATAACCGTCCACATTGTAACAAAATGTAAATAATAAAGAAAGTTTTATAATTAATTTTGCACATAGTTCTATGTTAGCTTCAGCCTCTTTTGCTGCTGTGTTTTCTGCAGATCCAGGCTATCACTGAGGTGAGCTGCATTGAGCAAGGGCTCCTCTATCATGGAGGACTGCTCCTCGCTTACCAAAGTCAGCAGCACTACAGACTCGGTGTCCACACTCAACAGTGAAGATATTGTGCTGGTGGCCCAGCAGGCTGAAAAGTCTCCCTCCGGCAGAGAAAGAAAAACGGGATTCAAGGTACAGCGGAAAAGGACAGAATAATAAGTGTCTGAACTTGTCCATTAAATTGATAGCTAACAGCTGTCCTGACAGCTTGGACATTCAAGATCCCATGACGCTGTTATTAAGAGTAGGGGTGTTAAATCTTATGTTCTAGTTAAATTCCACTCTGGGATTATAAAATCTGGCCTGTTTGAGGCTCCCCGTAATTCAGCTGGAGAAAAAAAAGTTAATTGCCATGCCATACCTTTTCTACCCAAGTGAAGCACTGATAGCAGCTTTTGTATATAATATTTTTCAAATGGGCAGAATTTTCATTGCTTGAAACAAATTAATAATATGATTTATAGCAGTATGTTGAAATGAACTGTGATTAATGGGCTTCTCGTATGGTTTAAGAAACCATCTGTGGAAATCAGGAGGAGCAATATTAAGTTATATAATTAAAAAGTAAAAACAGAAAATGAAGGGCTCTGGTAATAGCACATAACATTCAGAAACTTTGTTTTTTACTGTCCATTGACGCTGTTGTTTTAAATCCTGACAAATAGTTTAAGGGAACGTAATGTTTCTTGGCTTTTATGGAATCTCTATTATGCACCCATCAAACATATCTCTACTTAGTAGTTTATCCTAGAGACAGTAAGTATTGTACCATGCATGTTATATCCTATGGGAAAGGTTTGCAAGTAACTAAGCACACCCCTCTCTGAAACCTCCAGGCCTAAATGAATGATGAAATAAACTTGAGTAATAAAAAGGAGAAAACATAAAGGTAAATCCACCAAAATCTGTGATAAACACAATAGATTCAGGAGTGACTGAAGAGCAAAAGGTATGAATCACAATCACAGGCACTGCCTTTTAATTTTTCTAGATTTAAATACTGCGTCTCCAGTACAACAGCAGTAAGTCAGTATGACAAATAAATTCTAGTTAATTAAAATCTTGTCATCTGGCTAACAGTTTTTTACAGTAAGTCAGTATGACAGTTAAATTCTAGTTAATTAAAATCTGTCACCTGGCTAACAGTTTTTTAAACTGTAGGGCATCACACTGTGTTTTTTATTGTCCCTAGTCCCCAAAAAACATATTTGGGTATAATCAAATTAAGTTAATGTAATTCAAGTGAAGTCCTTTTCTTGCCTCTATTAAGTCTATACTTTGAGAACTTGACATCAGATTCACAGATGTGGCTTTAGTAATTGCTCTTAAAAATATGGCAGAATATATTTTTGAAAGTAATTTTTTTCAATGTTAGATCACAAGGCATGAAGAAGGCTCTTAAACCTTTGAAGCTAATTCTGTTCTGTATTGTGCCTGTCTGGATCAGATGTCTTACAGTGCCAGTAAGCAGCTGGAGAAAGCCACAGAAGAGCTTTTGGAAGATCAGGCGGGGAACGATGATGTAAAAGTAGAGCATCCCACGTCCTCTAAGGAGAAACCTGCAACTCCTATTAATAAGGTCCCTCCATTTACCTTACAGGTGCAATCTGCAACTACAGGTGGGTAATTGCACTATTTGTGCTATCTTGAAAGTATGGATCTTCTCTACATTAGTGCACAAAACTGTATTGTTTGCAACTAAGTAGTTGGTGATTATTCTTTGCTCAAATTCTGCATATGAATTTGCAACATGATCTGTTGTGTGGTTATTTGAGCAAAACATAAGAAAAGTT